GCTGGGGCACCTCCCGGCAGACCCGCCGCCGCTAACGCCGCTCGAGAGCGCAGTCGGGTTCAAACCCTGCGCCATGCCTTCCTCGAGCTGCAGAAGACTCTCCCCTCTGTGCCGCCCAACACCAAGCTTTCCAAGCTGGATGTGCTTCTCCTGGCCACCACCTATATCGCGCACCTCACTCGCAGCCTTCAGGATGAGGAAGAGTCACCGGGAGAGGGCTTGGGTACCCTCCGAGGGGATGGATACCTCCACCCTGTCAAGGTAGGACAGCTGAGGAGCAGCTACCACCTACTTCTTTCAGTGAAGAAGTAAATAGCTGTTAAAGATACTTAGATGAAACTACAGATGTCAAGCTTATTTACCTTGCCAGAGTCAATACATGACTACCTACACTAACCATGGCATCTAGGTGCTAGGGGCCTGATGGAAGTGTCCTGGAGGTTTGTCCTTCCAGCTTCAGTGACTTTGCACAAAAATATCAAATACAGCGTAAGTCCAAAATTAGTGGGACTTGGTCCCTTGGAAGTGAAGGCAGAGGGCAGCACCAGAGGAGTACCAGCACCTCCTCAGTCCACATGTGGAAACCCTGGTGATCCCTCGCCAAACCCACCGTAACCTGCTGCAGGAGATGTGTGTGGTTGAGGTGATGCGCTGTCTCACAGCGGCAACCCCAGCCACAGCTGAACCTGCTCTGGCTCTTCTCCTGAGGCAGCCAAGGTGTGGGAGGTGATGGTAATTATTGACCATGTGTTAATTCCTTCTATGAAAGTGCTTTTCTGATGCGTTCGTTTCATGTAGTTGGTGTACGCTGTTGTTGCTCTTCCCTTCGTCAAAAGAAATCACAGCGAAGCAGTGGGGATGTTTTTTTTCGGACCTGTGGCTGGAAACTGTTCTCAAATGCATTGCTCAGTGACTGACGGGACTTGTAAATACCACGGGGTATTTTCTTTGGCTCTGGTCTCAGGGAGTGAGTTAGAGCACTGGGATGTTTTCTTTTTTGTGTGTTTTTTTTTTTCTTCCTCTCCTTAAGAATCTGATTTAATTAAGATTAATTTGCAAAGTAATCTCTAATTCCTATAAAGTGACTAATTCACAGAGAGTTTCTTGTTCACAGTCTCGGTCGCTGTAGAAAGCGTGATGTGAACGTAGGCTTCTGAGGCCATTTAAATGATTAGCAGGCTCATTAAGAAAGCAAAACCTTTATATCAGTTGGCTGTAATTTAAGCTATTGGCTATAATTTAAGAAAAAAAATATTGTGACGTATTTCATAATAAGTTTGAAGTAGCTTCTGTTAGTTGCCTTGGTCAGAGTGAAAGGACACAGGTCTCTTATGGTACTTTTTATCAGATGCCAAGTATTACTGGCAGAAAAATACTTTTAAATAGTTATTACAGCAGTTAAATGATCCAGATGCACATTTCCCAGGCTACTGGAATACAGCAATACTGGATTCATCTAGCAGTTACTTTTGATAATCTTATTTATGTGCCATTTACTTGTATTTAGTTTTGTAAAGATTCCATGAGTCTAACCAATCTTTCTGATATTCCTGGCAGTAAACAAATTTTTTTAGTTGGCACTAGAATGGAAGTGTCACAGATACATCACAGGACATGCTTCAAAAAACCTCAAAGTGCAGGATATGAGACAACCAGTACAGATAAGGACCTTAACCACGCTTATACATCGAGCACAGTAAATACAAATAGTGAGGAAAGTAAAATGTCCAAGTACAGTTGTGCGTACACCGAACAAAAAATATGGTTAATGACTTTAAACTCTTATTGGTGATGAATTCATAACATCACACGTGAAATAAAAATACTGAATGAGATTGTAGGGTCTTTCCAAGTGAGAATATGCAACTTTTTTATGTCCTTGAAAAGAAGAGCTGAGGTTTAACTGCAGTATTAGGCTCCTCTAGTTTTTAGAGCTCTCTTTCATTAGGCAGCCTGTTCCCAAAAGCATCTTAAAAAAACAGTATTCTTTTGGAACAACGCGCTGGCTGTGTTTCAGGTATTTTTGCAGCTGATGTGTATGTCAAATTGTCTTTTCAAACATCCACCTCTCTAACAATGAAGCCAGCACATCAAACTGGAGCTGAATGCTTCCTCCCAAGAGAAGGGCACCCAGCTGCAGTCACCTTTATTGCAGGGCCGTTTGCAGTAAGTAACTTGGCTCAGGTCAAGAAACTGGAGCTATGCGAACAAGTATTTAACACCAGCGTAACTGATTATTCCAGTATTCAATGAATGGAAAGATGAATCATCTCATCTGAAATCGTTGGGGCTGACAAAGAACAAGAAGTTGTGAGAGCAGAAGACCGCCAAGGAGTAATTATATTGAATTCCCTCTAAGACATATTGCGGGGGCCGGCCGGCATGAACGGGTACGCACCCAGGGCTGCGGTCTCTGCAGGCGCTGGTGCGTCCCCGTGGTGTCCCTGGCACTGAAAAGAGGAATGCTTTGGTTTGTTTTACCAGCAGAGCACCTACTGTACAGACAGTGGTACGATGACTCATCAGCGTGGCCTGCTGTCATCCGTTGGGTCCCAGCGAGGGTTTAGGAGCTGTGCCTCATGATTAATTACCAAGAAAATACTCAGGCTGTGGTTCTTGTACCCAGCTTCTAATGACATTTTCCAACAAATGACAAAATGGGAACTTTCTGGTGATAGCAGCAGTTTCTGTTTTCTTGTATTGTGATTCCATCAATGTGTAAAACTTGAGAACTGCATTCAGACCGCAAGGGTTCTGGGTATCTCAGCATGGTGCTTGTCTCTTGTCTTGCAGAAATGGCCAATGCGTTCCAGGTTATACATTGGAGCTACAGGACAGTTTTTGACTCACTCGGCACAAGGAGATGGCGCAAACCAAGGAGAAACATCAACAACTTCACAAATCTAATCTCCCTTCTTGCTTTAAAGAAAAAATGTTATTTATTACACCTTATATATATTTAAGTTAAAAAAAAAATCTACAGACAAACTACAATTCCTGAAATAGTTTGTAGAAGAAAAGGGATTGATTCGTAAATGTAATTAATACCTCATTAACTTAATGTGATGCATGGTTGGTTTCTGTTGTAGAGGACATTGTTGGGATCTGAATTGGGGGATTAGAAGGTGATGGCTGTCAGCACGGAGGCAGCCACGAAGGCAGAGCTGCTAGCAGAACGGGTAACCTCGTCCCCTCCGGGACGAGCAGTAAATAGGTACGCTGTGGGGAACGGGGCGGGAAGGAGCCACGCAGTACTGGCTGGATAGAGGGCAACGCAGGCTTGGGTGAAAAGCAAAGGGCAAGTCTAAAAATAGCAGTTGCAACAACCCCGTGCACTTTCTTCACTGCATGAAGCCGACGGCAGAAATCCCGCGGACCGGAGTTGTCAGGTCAGGGCTCCAGCCTTCGGGCAATCTCCGATGTGTGCTGTTGTTCCTGAAAATGCATGTTCACCTCAAGTAAAAATGTGCCAAAATCTGTCCTGCGCGCACACAGCGCTACGTACAACAGACACAAACTGCTCTGGGTGCTAAACGTTGCTTGTGTTAATCCGCACGACCGTGTTGCATGTTACGGGGTTTCACATGTGGCTCTTACCCCAGTACAGCTTCTTGCCTGCTCAAGATAGTAAGATTCATTTCTCTCGTCTTGTCGGGGGGTTCAGGCCTTCCAGCAAATGAGCCTCAAGAGTTGACTTGTTCATAGCACGTTTTTCACTTAAATATCTTCTGTATTTAGGCAAGAAAAGCTGAAAACTAAATGCACAGACACCATCTAATGTATCTGTTCTGTAAAACACTGTACTTCTCATATAGTTTGTTGATGCTGAGGTAAACATTTTATTAAATATTATTCAGTGGACATTATATATTTATTGAGCTGCAAAATCTGTATCATTCCTCGTTATACAAGACCGATGGTTTCTAATAGTAATATTCTGCGTTTATAGTAACTTCTCTCTGAAGACTTCTTCACAGTTCACATTTTAAAATGACATCTGGCAGCAAAGGAAAACACAAATGCTAGCAAGAACAACCTTTATATAAACAAAACCCCTATTGCTTTCATTCTTGAGTCAAACTTTTGATGACTTTCAGAGGTGCTGAGCACGTCATTGCAAATGGACTGTCTGGTATCACATAAAATCAGGCGTCCTGTGCAAGAATATCTGTCAAAATTAGCAGAGCTGTTAGAGCTGGACAAACTTTCTGGAAGATGTGAGAGTTGTAAAGCATGGTAAAATCTGGAACTGCCCTCCACCCCTGCGGCATTCTGAGCTTGTAACAAGATTATTCTTTTAAATAGTAAAAAATACTTCAAATATTTTAAATAGATATATATTTTACATAGATATATTTAAACTATTTTAGGCATATATTTCTTACTTAACAATTCTAAATGGTTTATTATAAGAACTGCATAGCCAGAGCACTATGCAACCACACAAACTACTGTATTTTGTGAAAAAATATGTACGAGAGGGCTGTTTTGCATAGACATGTATCTACTCTTCTGTAAATGAGAACCTGACTTTTTAAAGAACTGTACTCACTTTCCATAGTAGTAAAAAGTGGGTCAGCACAACCTCTTGTTGTTGGGACAGCTATTTGTATTCGGAGATATTAATGAGGAGGTGTGGAGGAGTTGTAAAGGTGACGGTAGTTAAGTAAGATGAAAGAGTGACAGGAGTACTTTGCTGTACAAGGCGAAGGAGTAAGACACAGCTTACGCTTTAGACTGATAAAAGGCCAAGGAGCAACGTAAAAGCACAGAGAATTCAGTCTAGTTTTGACTGTAACCGAGATCTAAATGAATGGCATAGTGTGAGGGGAAAAAAGAACAAGTGAAAGTCGACGTCAAACCTCAAGCTGCCGCTGCGTAGCAGCCGTCCGATAATAAAACCAAACCACGTATGAATCGTGCACACAAAATGGCACGGGGAAAACACAAAATGTGGTGATGTTTTGCATCAATTGCATGCTCTTACCTAGCACAGAGGGGCGGGTTACTTCACAGGCTCTTAAATAATACACCTGGAAGAGACAGAATTCAAGAAACAAAACAAAAAGAAGACAAAAAAAAAAGGAAAAAAAGACACCCCCACCTCAGTTTTTAAAGACTTCTTCCATTAAATGTAATTGAAAGAGTCTGACTGCTTATTCATTAAGCATGAAAATTGGATAGGAATAAGGGTTAGAAACATGGAAAGTTATCAATGGATGGCTTGGAGAAAAAAAATCTCTGTTCAGCCTTTTACTACATTCCAGGCAGAGTTTTCAAGTGGTCAGAAGCCAGAGAGATGATGGAGCACCAAGCACCAGAGCTACTTTGTACCCACAAGGTTTGTTTAAATTGTGGCCACTTACATGACAATGCACAGGCCTGAGCAGCATTTCATAGATGCATTAAAGGCTGGTAAGAATATGCAGAATTACAACTGCAGTTTTTCACTTGAGAACAACTCCCCATATTTATACGTTGGGATTTTTTTTTTTTTTATGTTTCTAAAAGAGATTTTTCTGCATCAGCCGCAGATTTTTATGCCTTTTCTTCCAGAGCTAAGTCACCAGGTTAGGCAACTCACTTCCTTTGACCAGTGCAAGAGCTCTTGCCTTCAGAAATTTACACCAGGAGCAGAACAGATCCTCTGAACCTGTTTGCTTCAAACCTCAGGTTTGGATCGAACGTTACTTTTCTTAGGAAGAGTTCGTATCCTTGTACGCTGAGATACAACAGCTTGGCATTTGGCACTGGAAATATGCATGCATTTAGGAAGAAAACTCCACGATGCTCACACATTGCTGCCAAAAGGAACCATTTTACATGGAGTGACTTAAAAGATCTCAGCAAATCTCAGTTATTGACATCACAGCTTTTCCTTCAGAGGGATGGGACCAGTAAACTTCACACGGCCATACTCACATAACCTGCCTACGCAAAAATCCTGCTGCACGCAGACCTTTTTTCTCCACACGCACACAGCTGTAACTACCACGCTACCGTGCCCTCCAGCCGTGTTCCCCCACCCCCCCCCCTGCCAATCGCTCCTTTTGCCCTTGGAGGCCGTTAGGACAAAGTATTCCTTGTGCTTGTGCAAACCAAAGGATGGCAACACCAAAAGATGAATTTTCCATGGCTTTGACTTCTAAAAGACCGACTGTTCGGTGAGAACGGAAGTACTTCAGCGTTGAAAACGCTGGGTTTTAGTAAGAATACCGTTGTACGTAAGACACGCCAAAAAGAAAGGGAAAGGGAAAGGGAAGGCGCTTCCGTCCCGGGTAGCCTTGTTT